TTCGGACATGTAGAGAGAATGGAGCGAAACAGAATGACTTCAAGAGTGTATCAATCTGTAGTGGAAGGAAGGCGGGGTAGGGGTCGGCCTAGGAAAGGTTGGAGGGAGGGGGGTAAAGGAGGTTTTGTGTGTGAGGGGCTTGGACTTCCAGCAGGCATGCGTGAGCGTGTTTGATGGGAGTGAATGGAGACAAATGGTTTTTAATACTTGACGTGCTGTTGGAGTGTGAGCAAAGTAACATTTATGAAGGGATTCAGGGAAAGCAGCAGGCCGGACTTGAGTCCTGGGGATGGGAAGTACAGTGCCTGCACTCTGTAGTGTAAAGCACCCCTCTGGCAAGACAGTGATGGAGTGAATGATGATGAAAGTTTTTTCTTTTTCGGGCCACCCTGCCTTGGTGGGAATCGACCAGTGTGTTAATAAAAAAAAATATAATAAATATGTAATTTTTATTATTATAATTATTATTAACACACTGGCCGATTCCTACCAAGGCAGGGCGGCCCGAAAAAGAAAAACTTTCATCATCATTCACTCCATCATTGTCTTGCCAGAGGGATGCTTTACACTACAGTTTATAAAACTGCAACATTAACACCCCTCCTTCAGAGTGCAGACACTGTACTTCCCATCTCCAGGACTCAAGTCTGGCCTGCCGGTTTCCCTGAATCCCTTCATAAATGTTACTTTGCTCACACTCCAACAGCACATCAAATATTAAAAACCATTTATCTCCCTTCACTTCTATCAAATACGCTCACGCATGCTTGCTGGAAGTCCAAGCCCCTCTCACTCAAAACCTCCTTTACCCCTTCCCTCCAACTTTTCCCAGGCTGACCCCTATTCTGCCTTCCCTCCACTACAGATTTATACTCTCTCAAAGTCATTCTATTTTGTTCCATCCTCTCTACATGTCTGAACAACCTCAACAACCCCTCCTCAGCCCTCTGGATAATAGTTTTAGTAATCCTGCACCTCCTACAAATTTCCAAACTACGAATTCTCTGCATTATATTCACATCACACACTGCCCTCAGACATGACATCTCCACTACCTCCAGCCTTCTCCTTGTTGCAACATTCACCACCCATGTTTCACACCCATATAAGAGCATTGATATAACTATACTCTCATACATTTCCATCTTTGCTTCCATGGACAAAGTTCTTTGTCCCCACAAACTCCTAAGTGCACCACTCAACTTTTCCCCCTCATTAATTCTATGATTAACCTCATCTTTCATAGACCCATCTGCTGACATGTCCACTCCTAAATATCTCAATACATTCACCTCCTCCATACTCTCTCCCTCCAATCTGATATCCAATCTTTCGTTATCTACTTTTTTGTTATCCTCATCACCTTACTCTTTCCTATATTCACTTTTTTCTTCTTTTACATACCCTACCAAACTCATCAACCAACCTCTGCAACTTCTCTTCAGAATCTTCCAAAAGCAGTGTCATCAGCAATGAGCAACTGTGACAACTCCCACTTTGTGTTTGATTCTTTATATTTTAACCCCACACCTCTTGCCAATATCTAAGCATTCACTTCTCTTACATCCCCATCTATAAATATACTGAAAAACCATGGTGACATCACATATCCTTGTCTAAGGCCTACTTTTACTGGGAAATAATCTCCCTCTCTCCTACATACTCTAACCTGAGCCTCAATCTCCTCGTAAAAACTCTTCACTGCTTTCAGTAACCTATCTCCTATTCCATACATTTGCAACATCTGCCACATTGTGCCCCTATCCACCCTGTCATACGCCTTTTCCAAATCCATAAATGCCACAAAAATCTCTTTACCCATATCTATATACTTTTTACCTATATGTTTCACTGTAAACACCTGGTCCACACACCCCCACCTTTCCTAAAGTCTCCTTGTTCATTTGTTATCCTACTCTCTGTCTTACTCTTAATTCTTTTAATAATAACTCTACCATACACTTTACCAGGTATACTCGACAGACTTGTTCCCCTAGAATTTTTGCACTCTCTTTTGTCCCCTTTGCCTTTATACAAAGGAACCATGCATGCTCTCTGCCAGTCCCTAGGTACCTTACACTCTTCCATACATTTATTAAATAAAAGCACCAACCACTCCAAAACTATATCCCCACCAGCTTTTAACATTTCTATCTTTATCCCATTAATCCCAGCTGCCCTTTCATTCTACCCACTGCCTCACGAACTTCCCCCCATTCACAACTGGCTCTTCCTCACTCCTACAAGATGCTATTCCAACTTGCCCTATACACAAAATCACAGCTTCCCTATTTCCATCAACATTTAACAATTCCTCAAAATATTCCCTCCATCTTCCCGATACCTCTAACTCTTCATTTAATAACTCTCCTCTCCTATTTTTAAGTATTAAATCCATTTGTTCCCTAGGCTTTCTCAACTTATTAATCTCACTCCAAAACTTTTTCTTATTTTCAACAAAATTTGTTGATAACAACTCACCCACTCTCTCATTTGCTCTCTTTTTACATTGCTTCACTACTCTCTTAACCTCTCTTTTTCCCTCCATATACTTCGCTCTCCTTGCATCACTTCTACTTTGTAAGAACCACTCCTATGCTAATTTTTTGTCCATTACTACTCTCTTTACATCATTATTCCACCAATCACTCTTCTTACCTCCCACACCCACTTTCCTGTAACCACAAACTTCTGCTGAACACTCTAACACTACATTCTTAAACCTACCCCATACATCTTCGACCCCATTGCCTATACTCTCACTAGCCCATCTATCCTCCAATAGTTGTTTATATCGTACCCTAACTTCTTTCTTCTTTTAGTTTATAAACCTTTACCTCTCAATTACTTGCTACTTCTATTTTCTTTGTATTCCATCTACCTTTTACTCTCACTGTAGCTACAACTAAAATGTGATCTGATATATCTGGATCACTTAAGCACAGAAAAGCCTTATTTAATGGATTTGAGATTTGATGGGCAAAAATCTGTTGCTGGACCACATACAGAAACAGCAGACCAAGTCCATTAATTCAGAATTGTCCGTTATTCTTATGGTCCATTGGGAAAAGAGTTTTTTGGATTCATCTCACAAAGTCCATTAAATCCAAAATTGTTCATTGTTACAGTTCATTGGGGAAATTGATTTTGGATTTAAAAAACACAGTCTGCTACGTGAAGAAGTTTCCATTAGTGTTGCAATCAAGGAAAAACAATCTCATTATGTAAGTGTAACAGACACTTGGCATTAACAAACCCCCTATCCCTATTAGCTTGTTATATTGTATTTATGAGTACATGTATTTAGTAAAACATATTTAACTTAAAATTCAATATCAAGAGGATTATGCAGTAAAGTAAATAATATAGTAATGATGCAATAAAGACAAGAATGTGATTAAAGCTAAAAAGAAAAACCTTGGTGTGATTTTTAACTTGATAATATAAAAATTTTATGACAAGTCCAGGAATTATATTAAAAAGTTTGTTACAAGAAAATAAATGGTTTAACATGAATCAACTAATTTATCACACAGTTTTTTTAGATTTTGTTTGAATTCACCAAGTTAAATATTTTTAATTCACCAGGTAAGTTATTTCATATTTTATTTGCATTAAATGTCAACAGAAGTTGAGATGAACATGAAGAATATCAGTGATATTGGTTTTGAGTGTGAAGCCTCTGTGTTCTGTTAATTTTCCAGGAAGTGTCTTAAGTCATTGTGAATCAGCATTAGAGTGCGTTATTTTAAACCTTTCAGTGACTTTCACTTAGATCTAAGTTTTTGATGCCAGAGTTCCTCACACAGATATATGCATAAATTGTAGTAGCTTCAAATTTGGTATGAGAGGCCTGGTAGGCCTACATATGAGAGACTTAGACTTTGTAGTCAGTGTGTGTAGCATACAAAAAATTGGGGCCCCCCACAGTGCATTATGGCAATGCCATATTTAGTACATCTTACTCATCAAGCCACGTGGATGCAATGGCCTCCACCTGTCGCCCTCCCATGAATAAGTATGAAAATATCAATTTTCTTCTAAAATATTTTAACCTTTAATCACTTACATGTTGAAATTGATTAAAGGCATTTATGAGTTGGATTAGTTTGACATTTTTATTATGCAACTCATACCCATCCTGTGGGTGGTATTCAAAGGATTACAGAGGAACTTAGTGAGTCTGAGGGCTAGGTCCCAATAGTTGTTTGCTGAGCAAGTTAGTGATAATGAATGATTTGGATAATGAATTTTGTTGCATTCCAACCTATATTGATGCAAGACGTTTTATATAATTTTTTCTTCAAATGAACATAAATACACAATTTCTGGTGCTTCATGGTAAGCTGACACTACCTAGAGCATTATGTAGTGTTAGAGAACAGATGCAGTACAGTAGTTTTGTTTAGGTCCACATATTCATTAGCAATCACAAAAGATAACCCTGAAAAATACTACTCCCAAAATTTGCAAACTGGAACCTACACTGGCCAGTAACATTCCTAACCACTGCTTTACCATATGTACAATAGAACCCCAGTATCCACTGATTCAGTTTCTGCTGTTTCAAAAGTAGTGATGGTGGCAATTCTTCAAAGTCTAAGGGAAGCCATGAAGTGCTTCCCAACAGTAAAAAAGTGATAATTCTTGATTTTTTTGTGCACAGTTTATCAAACTTTATCATAGGTATGTATTTAAGCAAAAAATTATTTATATACTGTATATGGTTTGGTACTATCCGCAGTTTCAGGTATCCATGGTAGGACTTTGAACGTATCCCCTGTGGAAACGGGGGGACTTCTGTACAAAGATTAACAGGTGTTGAAAGTTTGTGGTTGAACTGAGGTATTTTCAGGTTACTGCAGGAACTCAAGTACAAGAAAGAAAAATGCTGTATAAAGGTATCCCCAGTGTATTAAATGGTCTACATCTTGCTGGACTAGAATCCCAACTTTCAAGATTTCTGACTTTTTGCTGTTCTCTTTCTATGATCATCTTACCTTTCCTTCCCTGCAGTATTTCAAGGGTTGCAACAGCAGAGGCTGCAGCTGTTCTGAATTCTGTGATAGTCTTACCCTCTAGGATCTAGAGAAAAGGAGGTGTGGTAAGCAAAAATGAGAATATAGGAGTCATGAAAAGGCTTAAAATTATCTTTAAGAAAGGCAACCATTTATAATCTACACCCCTTCAATTGAAGAGGGAGTGGGGTGCCTTAATGTCAGTGAAGAGCTCTTTATCCAAATATTGAAGCTCCCTTCGCATTATTATTCTTAAGTCACCATTTATTTTATGTAACTATACCACATTCCTAGAAGTAAGATGTGTGCCCTCCCTATCATTAAATAACATAATAACCTTGTATCTTCCTAGCACCACATTAGAAAAGATTCTCCATCTCTGTTTCTCTAATCGTCAACACAATGATCAGTCAGAGAAATGGACCATGATTTGTAGGTGAAGGAGTGAGTCTCCACATGGGTTTAGAGCTTAATGAAATGACAAGCTAATATTTTTATTATGCAGTATTTCATGATTTTAAGATTCTGAAGTCATTAATTGGACAGCAAGGTTTTAGTTCATTCTTATTAATACAGTATAACAAGTGAATAACAAATGAGAACTAACTGCTGTAGGAAGACCAGTGTCACTTTGCATGAGCATCACCAGACAACTGGAGAGGTTGAGACCCCGTGCTGCATTCGTTGGGAAGCGAGCGATAACCTTGACAACTAATGAGTCCTCTTTCAGTAATCCTGGCATCACTAGCATTGCTCTGTGTTGGGTAATATATGTTAATACATCACAAAAACATTGAGATTATTGTGGAAATTGTATTATTTACCTTTAGTGTCTGGTATTACTCTATCAGCATCCCCTCCCCTTTAAAGAGGAGGGGATGCCATAATGCTGAGGGGCTTTTGATCTAGGGAAGTGGAACTGACCTCCCAGTCTTTGCATCAAACTTAATTGCCTCCCATTTCCCAGATACTGTATGATCTCTATGGGATTTGCTTAATCTGAGAAAGATAACCCCATATTGTATGACCCCAGTCCTTTGTACTTCAGTGCACAAGATAGAATATTGCAGAGTGCTGCGTAAGTTTGTAAAGTTAAATATTAGTGTTAAATATCTGAAGTAAATCAGAAAAGGCATTCACAGTTATCATATGGAAAGTAATATCCCAATTTCTTCACCAAAAATGACAAATTAAGACTTAGACACCCCTCAAGGGGAATTCCTTGATGCTGGTGAGGGGCTATTGATCTAGGGAATTGGATCCGTGCTCTAGTTCCCTGAAGTGAGCCTGAATACTTTCCATCCCCCACCCAAATGGGGGTTTAGTGCTCCCCCATGATTATAATTATAATTACAATTTCTTGGATTAAAAGTCCCTCACCAGCATCAAGGCACCACCAAGAAGTATAATCCAGTTGTGTAATGCAAAATATTACTAAGTCATTTCATGATTAAAAGTGGCAACTAGCACCTACATGCTAGAGTAATAATACTAGTCTAATTCTAAGTAGGATGTGGCAATGTTAAAACTTTGTAGCTGATCAGAAGAAACTGTCTAGAGGTATCCTGCTCAAGGGGATGGCGAAGAGATACTTGATCTGAGGAATTAGACCTACTCAACTTACTTGGACTAAATCTAAATACTCCTCACCCCTCCCCTTCTCTTTCCATTTCTTTTCATGGAACATTGCTTCCATCAGGAAGCGGTTACCTGACTTACATCATATTAGTGCAACCAAGAATATTGATGTCATCTGTTTGCAGGAATGTAGACTGAAAGCTGGAGCACCTCCACCAAAGTTGCCTGGATATGCAGCTTATAACTTAAGGTCAACCAACTGTTGTGTGATGTATGTCAGAAAGAACTTATCACATTCACTTCTTGCCCTGCAGAGATGAGTTAACATGCAGTATCATGGTGTCAAAGTATATGCAGGCGATTTCTCCATAGACATTTTTAATCTTTATGCCCCAGCGAACCAGCTTCGACCTGATGCTTTACCAAATCGCATTAATAGTGAACCTACCCTCATTCTTGGAGATTTTAATGCCAGACATAAGAATATTGGTGGGTCTATAACAAACACCAATGGAACTAAACTAGTGAAATTGCTAAATGAGCATGATAATGTTCGAATTGTGGGCACTACCTCTGTAACTTGCTCAGCTATCAAAACTTCGGAGTCCAGTCCCTGGACCCATTATGTACCTGGAGTTTACCTGGAGAGTTCTGGGGGTCAACGCCCCCGCGGCCCGGTCTGTGACCAGGCCTCCTGGTGGATCAGAGCCTGATCAACCAGGCTGTTGCTGCTGGCTGCACGCAAACCAACATACGAGCCACAGCCCGGCTGGTCAGGAACCGACTTTCCTCTGTAATCTTTTGACTACCACCCACAGGATGGGTATGGGGTGCATAATAAATATATTAAACTAACTACTGAGCCTATTCACATATATGGTGGCATACTAGATTTGTGCCTTGGATTTAATACATCATATACGATGCATGACTGTCATAGTTGATGATCTTCTATCTGATCACTTCCCAAGACTAACAACTGTCAATCTTGATCACATCTCCAGTAATCAAGGAGCTAAATACAGAAGGAGGAAACTTATAATCAACCAACAACACAGAGACAACTTTATTAACCACTTGGATTAGTGGTATAAGAATTACCAGCCCACTGGCACACAAAAATTCAATGATGATTTAGTTGCCACTGTTGAAACTGTCCTCACAGATCAAGTGGGCAGGAAAAGAAAACATAGACCTTCCACCTTAACTGACAATAAAAACCAATGTAAATACTATAATGATCCACAGCTACGCAATCTAACACATGCAGCAGCTAGGAGGATTGGTAAAGCATACCATGAATGTAGAACCCCAGACCTGCTTAGAACGTTCTAAGCTGCACTAACAAATGCAAGGAATAGAAAGCAAGAACTTAGGCAACAGGAATGGGAACAATTTGTTAGTGGATTAAATAGGTCCACCCCTTTAAGTTTGGCTTGGAAATGTATAAATAAAATAACAAGGAAAAAGACTGGCAATGTTGCTCATCCCTTTCCTCTTGAAGAAGCAAATGACCTCATAAATGACTGGTCCAAAACATCCAGGCATGAAAACCTTCCATCTCATATTAAAACAAATTTAGAGAGTACTTCTGAAGAAATGTTGAAACTGATTAATTTTACGAGCCAAAATATTAATGAGAGCGATTGCCTTTTCACCGAGTATGAATTAATTAATGCATTAACTAAAGGTCGATCAACTGCTCCTGGAGAGGATGGTATAACCTATATACTCAGAACCCTTTGTTGGCACTGTATAAGCTCAGTTACATTGAGGGAGTTCTTCCTACTTCCTGGGCCAATAGTCTCATTCAAAGTTTATTCTCTATAAGGATTACAATGCTGAGTTTACAGAAATTTGGTTATTGTGTGGTTTACATGTAGTAAAATAGTGATTACAGAGTGTACCACTAGAACGCTTAGCATGGCTAGGCATTTCGGGCAGACTTAGTTTTATTCTTAATTGTAAAATATTACAAATTATGAGGTAAGTTGGTATTATGGCTAAGTGACTAAATACTAGTTTGTGAGTTTAGCAATGTAAATGCTTTTGTTTTGGCACAGTACATAGTTTCAGTATTGGAGTATCACAGGATTCATTATTTTAAGACTGAGATTAATATTTCTGTTTATGGTCAAATGAGTCAGTGAGTGTAAGTGTGAACCACCAGGTGGTATTCGTGTAGTTAGTTGACAGGGTGTATCAGGGAGATAAGATGTTTTCTAATGGTAGTTTTGAAGGTGATGAATGTGTCTGCAGTTCTAGAGTTCTCAGGTAGGGTATTCCAGATTTTAGGGCCTTTGACATACATTGAATTTTTGTAAAGGTTTAGTCGGACACGGGGAATGTCGTAGAGATGTTTGTGTCTGGTGTTATGCCTGTGGGTTCTGTCACAACTATCAAGAAAGCGTTTTAGGTCAAGGTTGATATTAGAGTTTAAGGCCCTGTAGATGTAGATTGCACAGTAGTAAGTGTGGATGTACTGAACAGGGAGTAAGTTTAGGTCTATGAAGAGTGGGGGGGTGTGTTGCCAGGGATGGGATTTAGTGATTATTCTTACTGCAGCTTTTTGTTGGGTTATTATTGGCTTTAGGTGTGTTGCTGCAGTTGATCCCCAAGCACAAATAGCATAGGTGAGGTATGGATAAATAAGTGAGTGGTATAGTGTGAGAAGGGCATTTTGCGGCATGTAGTATCGTATCTTGGAGAGGATCCCAACCGTTTTGGATACTTTTTTGGTTATATGCTGGATATGGGTGCTGAAATTCAGGTTGTTGTCAAGGTATAAGCCTAGGAATTTGCCCCCATTATTTCTGGTAATTAGAGTGTTGTCAATCTTAATGTTAATTTGTGCATCTCCTGCTCTGCTACTAAACATAATATAGTAGGTTTTGTCAGTGTTAAGCGTAAGTTTATTGGCTGTCATCTAAGTCGATATTTTGATCAGCTCCTCATTCACAGTGGTGTTGAGGATGGCAAGATTAGGGTGAGAGATGACATAAGTCGTGTCGTCAGCAAAGAGAATGGGTTTCAGGTGTTGGGATACGTTTGGAAGGTCATTGATGTATATGAGGAAGAGCAGGGGACCAAGAACACTTCCCTGCGGAACTCCAGTATCAAGTGGCCGTGTTGCTGATGCTGTGTCTTTAATGGTGACATACTGATACCTATTAGTAATGTAAGATTTGAAATAAGCAAGCGCATGGCCTCTTATACCGTAATGATCAAGTTTGTGGAGTAGGATGTCGTGGTCTACTGTGTCAAAAGCTTTTCTTAGGTCAATAAAAATTCCTAGTGGATATTCCTTATTTTCCAATGCTGTGTAAAGCAGATCTAGTATTTTTATGATTACATCATTAGTGCTTTTATTTTTCCTGAATCCAAATTGGCAGGGGTTGAGTATGTTTTGAGCCGTTATAAATGAATACAGTCTCCTGTGCACGAGTTTCTCAAAGATTTTGGATAGCAATGGTAAGTTAGATATTGGCCTATAGTTGTTTAAGTCTGTAGGGTCACCACCTTTATGTATTGGTGTAACCCTTGCCATCTTGAGTAGTTTCGGGAAGGTGCTAGTCTCTAGTGACTTGTTAAAGAGTAATGAAATAGCATGCGAAAGGACATGGGCCGCTCGCTTGTACAGTAATGGTGGGACATGAGACAGATTCCCCGAGTTATTTTTAAGTGACTTTATAATCTCAGTGACTTCCGTGGGCTCAGTTGGTGCAAGATAGAAGGAATTAGGGAAATTCCCATCTAGGTAGTCCCGCGCATGGGCATTGGTATGTGGGATTTTACTGGCGAGATTAGATCCTATGGTTGAGAAGAAGTCGTTTATCTTGTTAGCTGTGTCAGTGGGATGTAGTGGTGTTTCATTAGGTTTAGTTAGGACAATATTCTTGGTTTTTCTCAGTTTATGGGTCCCTAGAATCTGAGAGAGTGTTTTCCAGGTCTTTTTTATATCTCCTCTAGTGTCTGTGAATCTACTGGAGTAGTATAGTTGTTTGGCTTTCTTTATTACTTTGGTGAGAGCTGATGAATAGTGTTTAAGAATATCTTTGTGTATTAAGCCTTGTCTATATTGTTTTTCATATTGGTGTTTCTTGTCAATGGATTTCAGAATGGTGCTGGTTAGCCATGGGCAACCAAGCCGTTTGTTTGTGATCTGTTTTGTTTTTAT